TGGCATAGGGTGAGGCAATGCTAATGGACTAATAAAATCCCTATTTGATGAGGTAATTGGGAAAGGACCTGTAGTTTGACTGCATTCTTTCTAGAGGGGGGCGGAGGGCTCTGATTCCTTTTGACCACCTCACTGTGAATATTAATTGAACTGCAGTTGCCTCAGGCTGCAAATTGGGATTTACTGAAAAATGTTTCAAGTTATAGGATTAAGATCAGATGGGAGTTTTAGTTAAGAGGCAAACATTAGGTAAAGTGCATTACATCATCAGCTAAGGAAATTTTACTATTCATTAGTTCCTCAGCAACGTTAACTAGGAAATAAAATGCAAATAGCACCTTCACATTTTTAATTGCAATGTTTCTGCACTTTACATATCATCATTTTTTTTTTAGGTAACATCTAGCTTCGAAAGTCTACCATCTATGGTAAAATAGCCTTTATTTAGCTATATTAAACTATTTCTTACTTTTCTTGAAGACAGGTCTTTTTCTTTTAGACAAATGAGTTTGTTCCTTCTTCTTGTGCTTTGGTAATATGCATTATGCATTCTGATTTGTATTATAGTGGTCTGTGTATTTAGCATATCTATTTCCTTCTCACACTACTGACTCTCAGTTAAGAATGGAGTCCTGGTCTTTACAGTTTTTGGCTAACACAATACCTTTAGCATATTAAGTACCCAATAAGCATTTACTGATCTACAATTTTTTTTCAGTATTCTATTCTAAGAGGGTTTAGAGAGAATTGTTTTGGGTGTGATATGTGAGATTTGAGAAATTTTTTTTTTTTTTTTTTTTTTTTTTTAGATTTTATTTATTTATTTGAGACAGAGAGAATGAGATACAGAGAGCATGAGAGGGAGGAGGGTCAGAGGGAGAAGCAGACTCCCTGCCGAGCAGGGAGTCCGATGCGGGACTCGATCCCGGGACTCCAGGATCATGATCTGAGCCGAAGGCAGTCGCCTAACCAACTGAGCCACCCAGGCGCCCCGAGATTTGAGAAATTTTAAAGTATTTGTGGAAATGTAAATGCATTTATTGTTTAGACTATAGAAATTCCAATTTTCTCATTGTTCTTGCTGGGTAAGAACAAAATAAAATAATATGTAAGCATATATAATAATATAGGTGTATAAATATAGAGAAAACATAAAATTTATTAAATGTAAAATATTAAGTTTATGCATATATGTATATATACACACTAAGGTTATAACCAACCTTGAATATGGCATCCATATTATCCATTAATATTAATTACAAAAGAAAGTCTGTTTAGCAAAAAAGGGGGGGAGGTAGTGAATGCTAAATTTTTGATACATGATGTAAACATATGCATTTAATTTGAAAATATAATTGGAATAAATCTGCAATTCTAAGGCATGGTAATAATATTCTAACAAGAAAGCCTTAAGGGCGCCTGGGTGGCTCAGTCGGTTAATTGTCTGCCTTCAGTTCAGGTCATGGTCTCAGGGTCCTGAGATATAGGCCTGCATTGGGCTCCCTGCTCAGTGGGGAGCCAGCTTCTCCCCATCCCTCTCCCTGCCGCTCCCCCTGCTTGTGCTCTCTCTCTCTCTGTCAAATAAATAAAATCTTAAAAATAAAAGCCTTGATTAAAAGTTATAAAAAATACTTCAAACCATTTCTCATCTTAGGCTTGGTACTTTAAAATTTTATATTCAACTATTTATGTAAACTGAAACTTTCAGTAATACAGATGATAAACTGAGTTGTTTTTAGAGCACCTTAATTTGAACATTGCATGTGTAATGGGAAATAGTTTTAACTTCGTTTTTCAATAGAGATGCAACTGTATGACTAAAAGACAATGTTGAGGGAAAACATATTAGTTAAAATGAGTAAAGACATGACGTCCAAGAGTGGCACACTTAAAAGAAATAGTGAAACATAAAATAAACCACTTCCCTAAAAGGAAAGGTACCTGGCTGAACTCAGCACTCCAATCATTGTTAAACATGACACATAAAGGTCAAAATCAGTTTGGTTGGAGTTTAAGATGTGAGGAGAGGGGTAGTATGAGAAACAGCTTCAGAGATAAGTTAAACATTTAATAGGAGAAAATTATATGTCAGAGAGAGGACTTTTTACTTAGTTCTTTGGGCAACACAAGACACCAGAAATATTTGAGCAGAATGCCATGATCAAGCTTTATTTTAAAGAATTTATTATCATGATAATTAAGTGAAATATATTGGATTGGACCTTGAAACAAAAAAAAGCAGGGCAAATGGTAAATTTGAATAAGGTCTCTAGATTATAGCCTTGTATTAATGTTAATTTCTTGATATGGATAACTGATACTGTGGTACCATGTCCTTGCTTAGGAAACATACACTAAACTGTATAGAGGTAAAGGGACATCATATCTGCAACTTTATCTTAAATGTTTCAGAAAAAAATGTCTCAAGTACACACACACACACACACACTCACACATACACACGCAGTAGGAGGGGAATAAAGTAAGTATGATAAAATATTAACATTTAGGGAATCTGGATAAATGGTAAACAGGAATTCTTTGGAATATTTTTGCAAGTTTTCTAAAATTCTGAAACAATTTCAAGAAAGTTTTTTTTTTTTTTTTAAGATTTTACTTATTTATTTGACACAGAGAGAGCACAAGCAGGGGGAGTGGGAGAGAGAAAAGCAGGCTTCCCACCAAGCAGGATGCCCCATGCAGGGCTCAATCCCACAACCCTGGGATCATGACCTGAGCCAAAGGCAGACGCTTAACAACTGAGCCACACAGGCGCCTCTCAAGAAAGCTTTTAAAAAGAAAAGTAGTATGTCAATGACATCAAGTTGGTTAAGAGATGACTAGGTTGTGAGAGTTTGGATATATCATGATGAAAATCAACATTAGTAGTTTTTTGGAGGGAAATCTGGAGAACACCCTCAAATTTAAAATGTATACATCTTTAAACTCAGCAACTCCACTTCTGGTATCTGTCTCATGGAAGTATACTCATATGGCACAAAGATACTTATTGCAATAACCATTTTGTATTAGAAAAGTAAACCAATCAAAATTTCTGCTACATTCAAGCACATTCACGCTATAGAATTAATTAGGAGACAGAGGATAAATTTATGAACGTCCAATATGTCCTCACACAGAAAGATCTCCAAGACACAGTAAATTAAAAATAAAGAAATTGCAAAACTATACATATGGTAAAATCCCCTTTATGTTAAATCCCATTGAACTAAATTATCTTTTATATTTAAACCTGGACAGAGTTGTAAATGCCTAGAGTAAGGTGATGACCTCTGGGGAAAAGGAGAAGAGCTTGAAGAAAGAAGGACCTGACAGCAACTTTTAGTGCTCACTCTGAATACATCTTGCTTTCTAATACATCAAGGTACTCATATCTTACTTGGATAATTAAAAAAATTAATATCCCACGGTTAGTTCAAAAATAATAATATCCCACGGTTAGTTTAAAAATAACCACAACCTGGCTGCCTCAGTCTGTGCAGCATGCAACGCTTGATTTCAAGGTTGTGAGTTAAAGCCCCACGTTGGGTATGGAACTTACTTAATCAAAATAGTAATAATAATAAAATAATAATAATAATAATAATAATCAGCTGAGGTAGAGTGGAGCGAGATTAAAAACTGCTGTAGCAGTCTGAAAAAGAATGGGAAAGGGCAACTGAATTAGAGTTGTGTCAGCAGAAATGGAGAGGAGGAGGTGGTAGGGTGAGAGGGAAAATCTCTACGCCTTTTGAAAGGGTGTAGTGAGAGAAGGAAGGAAGATTTAATATGGCTGACTACAATAGTGACATCTTTAACAAGAACAGAGAATAAGAAAACCTACTGATTTGTGAGGAGAAGATAATTTTTATTTTGGAGACACTGAATCTGAGATACTGATATCCAGGTAGATATACTGCAAGTCTCCCAGAAAGATATAATATTTAGAGACGCAGACCAGAACTACCCTGGGGTTAAGCGACTAAATCCTTGAGGTAACAATTATAAAACAACTGTAAGTGGACACGGATTGTACTTCTTTGTTATGAGCACGGTCTAATGTTCCATTTGAAGTTACATAACACATTTAGTCCTGGAACAGCTACATATTTATAGTTGTGTATTAAAATTGATCTTAAGAGGTGACAATATTATATCACAGAAAGGAATTCATTCACATTTTTTCAATAAATTCTTGCATAATGAAACCTGTCTTCCATTTGGTACATTTCCCACTTAAAACTCTGTATCTAAATCAAACTCCTGAATATAAATGAAATTTGCAAGAACATAGAAAACATATTATAAGCAAATATGATTTTTATAAGTAAAAGTTGTAAATGGTTTAAGTCCTACTCAAGGCATTTTTTTCTATCACAATTCCATTAAAATGTTACTGCCCTGGGTCCTCACAGGATATTCAAGTCCATTGGTGGGGTTACTTATGGCATTTTAAAACTATTCAGATGGCTAAGCTTTTACAACTAGGGGGTGCTGAAGGACTACAGAGGATTATATTACATCTTATTTTTTAAAAATTTGGTAATCAGTGAAAATCTTTTAAAAAATTAAAGTCTTTAATAAAATAGCATTGAATTACATATAGCAATTTGCATAAACAATATTTAAACACATTTTATCATTGAATTGACCATATAAACCCTCAGCTGCAACAAAACTCTCCAAATAATGTAAATATACTTACTTGGTCTTATGTTTGTTGTTATATGAATTATGGATAATTCCAATTTCAGCTATGGAGAAATAAAAAGGTACACTGGATTGATATCACTAGGAAATGGGAGACTTATAGACCAGAAAGTGCCTATTTCAGATTCAAACAAGATCAAAGTAAATAAATCTAAGGAGTCTAGACTTTTAGCAAGAAAGAAAATACAACTAGCAATGAGACCTAACTTAAACAAAGATATTACATACTTTATCTTTAAATGTTTTATAGTAAATCCAAAAAGTATTCAAATAAAAAAAGAAACAAATTCAGAAAAAAAATTAATTTTACTTAAAAATATGTAAGCGTTTTAATAAAGAAGTTAAAATCTTCCAATGATTTTTTTTTCCCCCAAACTCAAGTTACTTCCAGGAATAGGGTATTTTCCTCTTTGTTTCTTAAAAATTATGTGAAATCACATATCCTTTATTATAGTCCAATTTAAAATATTTATGACTCTTTAAGCCACCATGATTTTATATATTCTGTATCAACAAAATGAAATCCATGAAAATATATTTAGGCTTTAAGGTGGATTAAATAGAATTTCTTTTGTCAGAAATATTTAATAAATGTATCTATCCTTTATTTTTATTTTTATCAGAAGTCAGAATTCAGTATGAATTTATATAAATCTAGATTTCCCTTTGTTTCCAAAATGCTGACTGTGTTTCATAAGCTGGCATTTTGACAAAACAGGCACACTTTAAAATGAGCTGATTTTACAAATTAGTAATTTTTTGAACTTTATTTCTCCACAGAGCCCACATAATTATAGTTGATATATTTCTACTTACAAAGTTTAAATAATATGTAATATAATTTTGCTTAATCTGTGATAATACCATCTAAAATTGTACAAGAATAAGATGGCTTTCTCTGAAAGTTACAAGGAAGGAAATTTGAAATACTACATACATTAGAATGGTGATCATAACAGGATCCAGCGTGCACGTCATTTTATTATCAGAATCATCTGAAGTATCTGCAATTTACACTAACTGAAGAGAATTGTTTGGATTATATTTTATGTAGTATGCTTATCCTTCATTCATTCCTAAAGCAATGTGTTTGCTATACATATATACATCATTAGTAGAGCACAGAAGTAACAAGATCATGCTGCCATTCAAAAGTAAGGTGCCACATTTTTATTACAATCAAATGGCATCCAAAATGCAATATACTGCTATGAAAATGCAAAAAATTTTCAGATTGGCATTTATGGATGAGGCCGGTCACAATGAAATGGCATTTTATTTTACACAAATGAAAAAGATCTATCATAAATATATAGACCAATATATAACATTGAAGAACAAGAAGCAGAAAGGAAACAATGCTCTTGCATAAAGATCAATTCGCTTTGCTGCTGTTGGAATAACAGGTTTGGCAGGGGGCGGCTTCTTGTTGTTCTTTGCCTGAGATTTCCCAAGCCCATTGTTGACTTCAATAGGTTTTCCATAGCAGTCATAATTGGATAATTCAAAATCTCTTGGTAAGCTTCCAACAATGCTGAAGTCATTAGACCTCAGGTCAGACTTGGAAGTGCAAACCTTTTTGCATCTCGTCTCTCCAACCTGAGAATAAAAGTTAAGGACAGAGTACATTTAGCATTTTTCTATTCATAAAACATCTCTTCAAAAGGATATTTTAAAAATCTGATGGTTTAATCAGTTGACTATTATCTCTGTTTCACAAAAAGAATCAATAGTAACTGATTATGCCATCAGATTACCTGAACATTTAGGGCTCTAAAATGTTGCCCATATAACAAAGCTTATGCCATGGAATAAACTTTTGATAGGTTACTTTATGTCAAGAGACTCAAAGTGCAGATCAACATTTATCTTAGGTGCTCCCAGGCTTGTGAGAGTTCTCAGTTGAAATACCAATAAATTACAATCCAATATTTAACCCTGACACCAGCCATATTACCACAATACATGGATTACAGAAATCTTCTGGTATTTCTAACCTTTGACTTCCCCATGGATTCTATTTCCAAAGATGGTGGTTTATAAATGACTGAGGCATTTCTCTCTTCAACGAGACAGACTCTGTCTCTAAACTGCATTCACAAATAGGAACTAAAAGATGGTCACAGTGATCATGAATCAAAGATCTACTGATAAAAGGCATTCATTCCTAATTTGTTGATTAAAGTGGATTAGCCAACCACACTCAGAGAATCCAAAGAAATTGTGTGTATTTCATCCAGATCATATGTCACAGAGATTATTCAGTTGACGATCTCTGAACTATTAAATTTAAATCCATTCCCTATAATATACAAAATAATTATTTCACATTGAACTCTCTCCAGCAATCAGAAATGCTCTCAGAAAAAAAAAAAATAGATGCCAACCCCAACGTCTTAAGATAGCACTGATATTACAAAAGGCCACAGAAGGGTATGCTCTTGACTCTACCGCTTAATTTCCTACTGTTCCTAATCCTGAGTTCTGTGATCCGCTTTTGGAATCTCCATTATTGATATTTATTGCTTTTACTGAAAAAGGAAACCTGTCATTATATACTGTTAGTATACTATAGCTACTCTAGGTTTTACCTTATTAGTATAATATAATGATTAGTTATATAGATTCTATTTACCTTTTACCAGATTATGGCTGGGTAAAACTCATGCTTAATGTAAGAAGTAACACAAATTATTTCCCAGCAGTATTTCAGGTAGCAGGACCCTATCTTTTATCTGGACAAACACTGAGTCATATCTTCTGGGCAAGAGCCAGATGGCAGTGTTTAGAGGTGGACAGCACATGAAATTAAGATATACTGAGTGAAAAAAAAAAAAAGCTAAAATGTGTTTGTGCATATTCCATCATTATACATGTAGATTATTTCCATTTTTTTTCAATTATGAACATGTACTGGTAATGTTATTTTTTAAGCTGGTATATAAGTGTTGGCTTTATTCAGATATACTTTATACCACATAGATATTGTACAATCCTACTAAGAATTATTAAAAAATATGTTTATATAAATATATATATTATAAATATAATATATAAATATAACTAAAAAATACACAAACTATTGATAAGTAGGAATGGGAATTCTGGAGCTGGAATTTTACCTATTTATTTATTTATTATATGTTTTTTGGGGGGAATTTTACCTTTCTTAGTGTTTCATACTAAGAAAAAAAAAGATGTGAAACACCAATATATTAACATATTTAGATGCTTTGATGGAACTTTGTTTAGCTAACAGAGGCCAACCTTAAGAAAGGGGATTCCCCCTCCCCTTTCCTAATGTGCAGTTACAATTTACCAATTGTGAGAAGTCAACTGACTTTAAAAGAGTATGTCTTAATGAGGTAGCTATTTTTGATTGAGCAACCACAGGTCCAGGGTCTAGTCCATATCAACTTATGCACTGTGTCTAGGAAAATATCTGGCATAAAATAGGGACTGGTCAGTTGGAATGAGAACAAAGGTAGCAACTAAATCTAAATTATTTAAATATGACTTTGGGAAATCATATATATATATAAAATTATGAATATCTATATATAAATGTTAGAAATATTTGAATATATACACAAATATGTGAATATTGTGAATTATGATTATATATAATAGAAAATATATTTTATATATATATAAAATTTACTTTTACACCTTCCATCTAAATTCCCCAAATTGAAATTTTAAAAGGCCATTTTCAGTAAGGAGTCTGTCATTTAAACCCCACCACCATGCACACGCACACAGAGACTCACATTCAGTCTCACACACCTTCCTTCCATTTAAAGCTCTAATTTTCCAGTGGTATTTGAGGAGTAAGTCTCAGGATATATCAGTGAACTTTTGTGAAGAGTAAAATTGCTACCTTGATTGGAACAGAGGTTGAGAACAGACTCTACATATCAAATTTTTGCATTTTCCTCAGACTCTCAGAACAATCTTCAAAATCTAGGACTCTATGGATATCCCATCTTGCTTTCTCCCTTTAGAATTCTCTACTCCAAAAGTTTTTTACTAACTGTGCTTTAGAATCCACTTATCAAAACAAAGGGGTATTCTAGCTTCTGCCAATAGACTTAAGAAGCATGCTTCTCATTTTTTTTTACTTTTTCACAAAGAAAGCCATACATATTTACTATAGAAATGCATTTACTTTAAATCTTATACACAGCTCTAGGTATAGTTTTAGTATCTATAAATAACTAAACAAGTAATCAAATTTATATGATACTATAACCTAAGTCACACATAAATACTTCAAATTTCCTAATCTGTTTTATTTACAAAAACATATTCTTAGATTCTGCTAGCCATTTTAACAATTTTAGAATTTAATCTACACAATTTATTCAAAATGTAGACATAAGATGTTATCTTTATTCAGAGAGATTATTTAAATATAGTACACATGTCAGTAAAAGAAGAATAATTTCTTCCATGTTAAAATAATAACATAGAAAAGCACTCCAAAGAGCTTCAATTTAGTTATACTAAATCTTCAATCGTTTAATGTATTAAAATCTCTTCTAGAAATGTATTTGAAGATTCTTTTATTTGAAAAGAGTGGAGTTGTGTGTTGTGTACTGAAGGAGAGAACCTCTACTATAGAAATATCTTTTAATTATGTGACACAACTAAATAAGAAATAAGAAGTCCTCAGGTTCCTTAAATAGGTCATGATTCATGGCCGGTCTCACTTTTTCCATTCATTGGAGATTTTACACAAACATAACTTTTTTTAGTTAATACTCTACACGTAATTATCATAATAAATATGTATATAAAAGTACAAAAATATTTACAATGTCATACTATTTTGAGCAATTATAATATCACATCAAGAGGGATTCAATAAACTCCTTATTAATAAGAGCGTAACCCTACATAACACATTCTTAAAAGTGATCTTGGTTATATTAATCTCCAATTTATAATTTCTCAATTTTTCCTCATATAAATATGTGTCTCATTTACCTTCATCATATAAGCTTGTCACTCCTGAAAATTACTGGTAGCAAAAATGAGGTAGTATGATAATGAAACTGTCAAGAATAAAAAATGATGCAGATAAGAACTTCCTAATTCCTCAAATTATAACCTTATTTAAGATTTTTTGTGTGTGTGGTCTTTTTCAGTTTGAGTCACACATTTAAAAGCAAATCTCCTTATGTAATATCTCTTGACCAGAAGACTTACAGATGATTTCATGGGAATAATGGTATCTTCTGCAGTTAATAAAAATAGGTTCAGAAGGGAATAATCTCTATATATTTTACCAAATTTAAGTCATTCCTTATTTTTTAAAAACCTAACATTACCATAGGAAACAACATCTCATTCATGTATGAACAGCAGGTTTTATGTTTTTAATTGTTCAAATCCAAAGGCAAAGACACTTTTTTTGTCTTTTATTCACAATATCTTTCTTATGAATAGCACATGGCACATACTGGGCATTGGGAACAGGATGATATTAACAACAGTAGGTCCTCAACATTTTTGTTGAATTTAAAAAGGTTATACAAGTAAACAAACAAATTAGTAGGTAAAATACTGTAATGGTTGAGGAAGTACTAAATTTGGGGGGTAACCTAGATAATTATGTATGTATGACGACAAATTTATATATGCAGGCAAAATTATAAAAATATGCTAAAAGCAGGATCACATTATCATTGATGTTTCTTATTTCTTACACTTTTTAAAATCATTTCTTTCCTTCACAAACACAGTATTATTTTAAAAGATCAGCATGATCAAAAATTACCTATAATCCAAATTTCACTGTGCTTTAATTAATAACTATTGTTATTCTGTTTAAAAACAAATAACATAACATTTTGAAACCATACCCCAGAGGGTTCATGAGGTTGAAACTAGCAGAAAGTTTAAAGCTTGTTTTTCAGAGAATTGTTTCTCCCTAATCAGCTATTGTGTCTTTTCAGACCCTACTAACAGATCCACTAGCTGTTTCTGCAGAAGCCTGAACGCAAGGTCAACTGATATGGTGCCAGCCTATGAACAAGCAAGGCCCCACATTCCTTAACAGAGATAACGAGACTAAGACCCCATTCCAGTCTATACCAGCTCTCAGAGCATGTCCATAGCCCCTTCTCCTTGTCCTAAGATAACCTCCTGATGTCAGGGGCTGAATTTTGCCTCCTTCTGGTGTTAAGTCCCCACCCCAAAGTGAACATGGGATTTATGTTACATACATGTTTGCTCATATGTATGGTTCATCTTTCCTCATGAATAGTCGTAAGTTTCCCTGCCCTTTTCATCAATATGTATGTAATCTCCTACCCTGAATTTCCCCTTTAAAAACCCCATTTCTTCGCCTGGAACCTCAGAGATGGTCCTTGGACACTAATCCGCCATCTTCCCAGGTTGCTGGCCTCCTAAATAAAGCAATCTTTCTTTTCCAACCAACACTTTTCTCTTGAGTACTTCCTTTTGAGTGGCAAGCAGCCGAACTTGGGTTTCAATAACAATTTCATTGAAATTACTTTGCAAAAGTTTATGTTTTGAAAGCAAAGTACACTGGAACGAGTGCATTTTGAAATCAGAAACTATTTTTTCACAGC